AGCTGACCTGTTCCCTGACTCAGGAGCCTGGCCCTAATCTTCCAGAAGACAACTGGCGGCAGCCTGCCCGGGCCTGCCTTCAACACCCAGGTGACGCAAGAAGGGACGGGCCTGGAGCCAGCAGCGCCTCCTGTCTCCAGCTCTGACTGTCTGTCACGGCCTGCGGCAGATGAGTCGCCAGGATGGCGATGGTGCGCAGCATGGCTCCGTTGGCAGGGGAACCTCCCAAGGAGGCCCTGAGCGAGGGAATGTGCTGGTTTCAGTGCATCTCCCCTCCTGGAGACACCTACAGCGTCCCCATGTGCGTAGCTGCGTGCGTTTCATATCAGGAACTGGCTGCAGCCTAGGGTGCCTCACGCCACCACCACCCTCCCATTTTACCAGTGGGCAAGCTGAGGCCCTGGGAGGTCGAGAGCCTTGCCCCAGACCCCAGAGCTTGGACTCAGCAGAGCCGGGAGTAGCCCCAAAGCTTCCCATCACCCCCCACCCCCACCCTTCATCCTTAATATGCCTAACAGGGGCACAAAAACTCAGCGGGGGATGAGGACGTGCAGTCCCCAGGGACAATGGCGAAAACCCTGAACATGCACCATGCAGCAAAAACTCTGGGTTCTTCCCCTAATACAAGAACCACAAGGGGCGCATAGTCTCACTGAACTGGCAAAGCCCTTGGGGACAGGAATGCAGCTCTGAAAAACCCCAGCACCGGACTTTTCCCGGAGGCACCGCGGCCGGTCAGCTGGGCCTGCCCTGGGCAGGGAGCCGCCCATCACTGCTGCATTCACTCACACGTCCGCCGGCCAGTGGCGTGAGGCACAGGGTGTCCAGCGGTTTTCCCCTTTAATTCACTCTTCCTCAACCCTCAAGAATGTATCAGCGTCTTTCCCCAAACCAGCCCTTTTCTTAGGGTGTGTCCACCATTCAGTCCCCTGGTGACGCTCCGCTGGGTTCAAGTGCACGGAGGTGGGAACCCTGTGGTACCTGCATCGCTGATCGGACAGGTTATCCTCCATCATGCGTGAGGTCAAGGGTCACGGAGCCTGTTGCCTGGAGACAGAGGCCTGTGCAAACCTGGGCTCCCGGTCCTGCTCCACCCACAAACCCACCTCCACCCCCCATTTCCTCTCACTAGTCTCCCTCCTAGCAGTCATGGAAATGAAGATGTCCCTGAAGTCTGGAGGCCACTGGAGTCTGAAGAATGAAGCTGTTAGGGTCATTCATCACACCTACTGTTCACCTGGGAAATGGACAGCAGACCCCTCAGTGCCGGGGGGCTCCGGCCACGGGAGCGCCACACCCTTGCTGACGGGGTCCTCTTAGACCCTGCTTAGCACCAGTGCTCTATGGGGGCCACAGTCCCCATCTTTGTGCCATGGCGGTCAGTCCCGGCTTGTGTGGGTCCCCAGGGCAACCACACGGGAGAAAACAGGAAGCTGGCCGTGGCCCCCAGCTGGGCCGGAACCCCAACAGGCCGGCATTACTGTGGCTCCCACAGCCTCTCCTTCCCTGGGTCTGACCCCTACTTCCTCCTACCCAGGGCCTTTGGGGTGACGCTGGGCCCCCCAAGAGAGCCCAGGGCTGCCTGTCATCTCCAGCACAGCTGCTCCACAGTGGGGGGCCCCGCTGGGGTGGGGTGAACTAGCCAGACTGAAGTAGGTGGTGAGGGAGACATTGTTGCCTCTGAGTAAGTCACTCAGGGTGGTCGTCATGAACTTCCTTGACCAGACTAGTCTGGAACCTGCTATTAAAAAAAAAAAAAAGCCACAAAGTGGGAAATGGAAAACATACTTCTCTTTTTAAAAAAAAAAAAAAATTATTTATGCATCCAGAACTGGGTACAGGCGCAGTGAGAGGATTCACCAGAGACAGTGGGGAGCAGAACAGGCAGATTGAGGAAGTCCACTGCTGAGGGGAGCAGCAGGGAGACAGGAGAGGTCTGCCACGCCTTGTGGTCACCCCTGGGGCCGGGGATGAACTCTCACTGAAGCGGCTGCAGCCGGCTTGCAGTGCTGAGTCCTAACCCCTTGTGCCACCAGGGAGGGCCCGGCCCTGCTTTTAAGGCAGGAGCATCTCCTGTTGTGAGTTAACACCCAAGGCCTTAACTCTTGGTTTCCTTTCAGAATCCCAGGAGTCTGAAACCCTAGAATTACTTCTTAGCTAGTCTGGCCCGGAGCCCTCAAAGGCCTCCAAGCAGGGCCTCCGCTGTTCCTCCCTTATTAAAAACCCCCCTCCATCTTAGAGGTCATGGCGCTACCCTGGAAGCTTCCCCTGCAAACACCTGGCACAATGCCAGCCCTCCAGCCTCACCCCTGGCCAGTGGCTCCCAGGCTGCATTGGGAGGGGGTGGGGACGGAGCGTTGCAGGAAGTCCACAATACCCTTGACACTCATGACCACCGGCCCTAATGGGCCGGAACAGTGAGTCAGCGCTGCCTAGTCCCCTAACAAGCTTGCTCTCTGCGAGGTGGCTGCTCTCTGCCCAGAGCTCCAGACTCAGCCTCTTGCTCATGACCTCCAATGGCTTATCCTCCCAAGAGAAAATACGCCCATGAGAGAGCCGCCCACAGGCTTCACCTCCAGTGAGCACCTCTCAGCCTGCACCCACTGCAGTTGCCTCCCCCACATTTTATTCCCTTTCTCTCCTTCACCAATTTCTGCCTTTCTTTCTATCATAACAAAACATGCCTGAATATCTAGCCACCACCCCCCCACCCCCCACCCCACCCCCATTCCCCGCTTTTAAAACTTTCAAAAGAATTCAAGTCACACAAAGCCTGTTCTCTGACTCCAGTAGAGCTAAGGAAATCAGTAAGCACAGGTAGTCTGGAAAACTTCCAAAGAGTAGAGCTAAAAAATGTACTTCCAATGCTGTGGTTAAGGGAGATACACAAAAGTTAATGAGAACGTATTTTAAGCCAACTCAAATGGAAACACAGCATATCAAGCATAAGATGCCACTCATGTCGTTATTAAAAGTCCTAAAGCAAGTTTTTTTTTTAAGTTTATTTATGCATACAAGAGCTGGTGTGTAGGACAGAGGTGGGGGGGCAGTGAGAAAACTCACCAGAGTGGGGAGCAAAACAGGCCGACTGACTGAAATACACCACTGAAGGGAGCAGAGGGGAGACAGGAGAGGTCTGCTGCGCCCTGTGGGTCTCTCCCTGGCCAGGGATGGAACTCGTGCTGCAGTGCCTGAGTCTAGATTCACAGTGCTGAGACTTAACCCCTTGTGCCACGGGGCAGGGTCCGTTCTTAATGGCCCTTAATGTCTGTATTAGAAAGGAAGAAAGAATGCAAAGCTATGGCCTCTGTTTCCAGAGCAAAGAGCCAATAAAACCAGGGAGCAGAAGAAAGGAAATAAAGATTACAACAGAATAGAAAAAGAGCAAAATGTTAATGAAACTAAAATTTGCTTCTTGAGAAAAAAAGCAATAAAACTGATAAACCTCTATCTAGCCAGACAGTTCAAGAAAAAAATATAAAAGACAAATTAGGGGGCCTCCCTGGTGGTGCAGGCTTAATTAAGTCTCAGCACTATGAAGCTGTCCGCAGCTGCTGCAGCAAGAGTCCGATCTGGCCAGGGAGTGACCCATAGGGCACAGCAGAGCCCTGCTGTCTCCCACCACTCCCCTCAGCAGCTGATTTCAGAGGATGCACCTGTTCTGCGCCCATGCCGTCGCCCCACGCTGTCTTTGGGGAGTCCTCTCACCCCCCCCCCACACCTCTGGCCTACACCCAGCTCTTGTATGCATAGATTTTAAAAAATCTTTAAAAATTAATAGGCACAAATTACCAACATCAGGAATAGAACAGGAAAGGCCACTTCCAATATCAAAAGGATTAACAGGGCCTATTGTGGACAACTGTTCAAAAGTGGAGTGACTTAGATGATGGACATATCTTTTCATACGCACATTTTGAAGAAAAAAATAAACGGCAAACTAGGACCCTCCCAGGTAGCAACAGGTTAAAGCACAGCACTGTGAAGCTCACAGCAGCTGCTTTAGAACGAGTTGGATCCCTGGCCAAGGATCCAAGGATGGAGCCACAGGGCCCTGGCAGACAGACCGCCCCTGTCTCCCCGCTGCTCCCCTCGGCAGTGCGCTTCATCAATCTGTCTATTCTGCTCCCCACTCTGTCTCTGGGGAAGCCTCTCACGGCCCCTGTGCCTCTGGCCTGTACCCCAGTTCTGTATGCACAAATAAGTCTTTTTTTTTAAAGGAAAATGCAAATTACGCTTACTTGAGAAGAAACAGAAAAATGCAGTTGCCCTATATATTTTAAAGAGTTCCAAGTAAGACGGGGGGGAGGGGAGGCCAGAAGTACAGGTGGAGTCACAGCGGGGGAGCACACCGCAGGTGCTTCCCTGACCTCACCTGTCCACTTGATGGGAAGCTACAGCCTAGGTCAGAGACGCAGCAGCTTAGCAGCTTCCAGCTCAGCTTGGGAAAAGCTGAGTCACATGAAGACGGCTTCTGCGTAAACCTCCGAGTCATTAATCAAACACGCTGAGCTTACACGGAAGGGGTGGGGGGCGGGAATGCCGGGGAGCAGCCCGCGCCTCGCCACACCTTTGGAGATTCCCTTGGGATTCGCTGTCAGCGCGACTTTGTGGTTACGCAGGTAAGTCGCCATGAGAAAAAATATTATTTGTATTGTTTCGGGATAAACCTAAGTAGGCTTTCCGCCCGCACCCCCAAGAGTTAAGCAAGGTTTAACAAAAAAAAAAAAAAAAAAAAAAACACCAGTAGGATCTGGCAGGCAAGAGGCACTTCGTAAGCACCCCCTCCCGCTTGGGGGCGCGCGGGAGTCACCGGGGGCTTTGTGCCCCGCCCACGCCTGGAAATCTACTCACCGGACCTTATTTCTCGAATTCCCTCTTTATTTTCTCCTACACAATTTAGGGAGTCTGTGTCCCCAGAAGCGGTCTAAATGATCCCACTGCATCTTAGCAAGCAACGCACATTCCCAGTCTGCACAGGCTGATGGGCGCGCGCCTCGTTGGCCTTTTGGAGTCTCCTACCACAGCTTCTTCAAGCCAACTGCCGTCCCCCCTTGCTTTGGGGGAGAGACAGTCTCTGCACCCCGCAGACCGCCGCTAGGCTCGGACCGCGGCCCGAGACAGCCTGGGCTGGGGAGGGGGCGGGCCCCGGAGTGGGGCGTTACGAAACCTCGGGGGACAGACGGCCCCTCCTCGGAGGGGAGGGACCGCCGCCCGGCCTGGTCCTCGCGGAGTCGGGGCACGGGATCCGAGCGCTGCAGCCCGTGCGGCTCCCGGCTGGGGCTTGGCCT